CACCTGCACCCCAATGTTTATAGCAGCAATGTCCATAATAGCCAAACTATGGAAAGAGCCCAGATGTCTATTGACAGATAAAGAAGATGTGCTGTATATATATATATATAGTATATATATATATATACACACATATATACAATGCAATGATTACTCAGCCATCAAAAAAAAAAAAGAAATCTTGCCATTTGCAAGGATGTGGATGGAACTTGAGGGAATTACGCTAATCAAAATAAGTCAATCAGAGAAAGACAATTATATAATTTCATATGTGGAATTTAAGAAACAACGGGATCATAGGGGAAGAGAGGGGAAAATTTAAAAAGATGAAATCAGAGAGGGAAACAAACCGTAAGAGACTCTTAATCATAGAAAACAAACAGGGTTGCTGGAGGGGAGAGGGGTGAGAGGATGGGGTAACTGGGTGATGGACATTTAGGAGGGCAGTGATGTAATGAGCACTGGGTGTTATATAAGACTGATGAATCACCGACCTCTACCTCTGAAATTAATAATACATTATATGTTAGTTCATTGAATTTAAATTAAAAAAATATCTATTTTTTTTAAAAAAGGAACCGGGGCCCCTGGGTGGCTCAGTCGTTAAGCGTCTGCCTTCGGCTCAGGTCATGATCCCAGGGTCCTGGGATCGAGCCCCGCATCGGGCTCCCTGCTCGGCAGGAAGCCTGCTTCTCCCTCTCCCACTCCCCCTGCTTGTGTTCCCTCTCTCTCTGTGTCTCTCTCTGTCAAATAAATAAAATCTTAAAAAAAAAAAAAAAAAGAAACCAAGAGTCAGACGCTCAACTGACTGCACCACCCAGGCGCCTCCCCTTTCCTCCTCTCTGACCTCATCTACTTTCCCCTTGCTCACCCCTTCCAGGAATATTGACTCCTCGATTTTTCTAGAACATACCAGGCATGATTCTGTCTCAGAATCTTTGCACCAACTGTGCCCTGGAATGCTCTTCCTTTAGACACCTACATAGGTCAGTCCCTCACCAACCAAAGTTTTTGTTTAAATATCCCAATAAGACCTATCAGGAGCACCCTATTTTTTTTCTTTAAGATTTTATTTATTTATTTATTTATTTGACACAGAGAGAGAGACAGCTAGAGAGAGAATACAAGCAGGGGGAGCAGGAGAGGGAGAAGCAGGCTCCTGGCCAAGCAGGGAGCCCGATGCGGGGTTCAATCCCAGGAACCCAGGATCATGACCTGAGCCGAAGGCAGACGCTCAATGACTGAGCCACCCAGGTGCCCCAAGAACTCCCTATTTTTTAAATTTCATTTCATTTTAGTTTTAAGTAATCTCTACCCCTGACATGAGGCTCAAACTCATGATCCCAAGATCAAGTGTCAAATTCTCTACCGACTGAGCCAGCCAGGTGCCCCTGAACATCCTATTTTATTTTATTTTTGTTTTTTTAAAAGATTTATTTATTTAGCGCACACAAGCGACAGGGCGGGGGGGGGGGGCGGGGGGGGGCGAGGCAGAGGGAAAAGCAGGCTCCCAGCTGAGCGAGGAGCTTGACATGGGTCTCAATCCCAGGACCCTGGGATCATGACCCGAGCTGAAGGCAGATGCTTAACTGACTGAGCCACCCAGGTGCCCCCTGAACATCCTATTTTAAATTGGAACCTGACCCCAAAGCAATCTTAATGTTCCTTAATCGTTTTTCTTTTTTAAGATTTTATTTTTAAGTAATCTTTACACCCAACATGGGGCTTGAACTTAACCCCAAGATCAAGAGTCACATGCTCTACCAACTGAGCCAGCCAGGCACCCCTGTTCCTTAAATCTTATTCATTTTTTCCATTAGATGCTAAGTAATTTATCATGTTTATTGTCCAGATGCTTCCACTAGAATGTAAGCTTTGAGGGCAGAGATAATATGTCTGTTGTATTTCTTTATTTCCCAAGTGTGGAGGCCAGCTTCCAAGATGGCCCCTGATTGTTCTCACATTGATAGGGATCACTTAAGTAGCCAGTGGGATGGTATGGAAATTATCAAGTGTGACTTCAAAAGAAAGGTTTTACATGTCATCTTGGAAAGAAAACCTCTAGACCCATAAAGCCTTTGGATGACTGCTCCTGGCCAACATCTTTTCTGCAACCTTATGACACCCTAACCCAGAACCAGTTAAGGTGCTCCCAAATTTCAAGTTGATTTAAATTGTGAGAGAAAGTTTACTGGGGTTTTTTTGTGTGTTTTTTAAGATTTTATTTATTTATTTGACAGAGAGAGACAGAGCGAGAGAGGGAACACAAGCAGGGGGAGTAGGAGAGGGAGAAGCAGGCTTCCCGCCGAGCAGGGAGCCCGATGCGGGGCTCGATCCCAGGACCCCGGGATCATGACCTGAGCCGAGGGCAGACGCTTAACGACTGAATCACCCAGGCACCCGAAAGTTTACTGTTTTAAACTACTAATTTGGGGGTAATTAGTTACCTTGTAAGAGATAGCTAATGTACCAAGGATCTAGAACTATATGTGTGACACATAGTAGCCATTTAATAAATATCCCAGGAAGGAACAAAACTGACAGAAGTAACCTAACTTTCATCAATATTAGGATTATTGTCACTTAGCAGAAAGCAATGTAATGGGACACCTGCAACAAAACTAAATTTTCTAATCACGATTTCACCAAATTGAGCATCTTACTTCCGTGAAAGATTAAGGGGTTTCATGATCCAGATTTTGGTGAAGACTGAGTGGATCAATTCAGATTTAAAGTCCAGTATAAGCTATCATGTCAGGGTTAGTTAGTTCTATAAGCAAGCACAAAATCCCTGAAGCCTATGGGTGGAGGTTGGCCACCAGCTGAACCTGTTTCAACAGTGTGTCTATTGTATGGAGTGAAACTGCCTTAGGCGTTTTTTGAAAGCTTATCTAGAGAATTTTGATAGCTGAGGAGTTTTTCCCACATCAGCCAAAGGCCAAAACATTTCAATTCTCTTATTTTCACAAACACCACCTTTTGGGGGGAGGGAGGAGGGGGTTCCCCTAGATTGTATGTGTGCACATACATGCATATTTTTTCTTTGAATGTAAAATTTGGTAAAAGTTACAACTTGGAGGGGCACCTGGGCGGCTCAGTCAGTTAAGCGGTGGACTCTTGCTTTCAGCTCAGGTCATGATGTCAGGGTCGTGAGATGGAGCCTGATGTCGGCTCTGCACAGGATATAGAGCCTGTTTAGGGCCTGCTTAAGATTCTCTCACCCTTTCCCTTTGCCTCTCCCCCTACTGTCTCTGAACAAACAAACAAACAAATAAATAAATAAAATCTTTAAGAAGTTACAACTCAGAGAAAGCACACTAGTATATAAAACATAATAAAAACTTGTGTGATTTTTAGGGGTGGAGGGATGGGCAAAACTGGGGAAGAGGAGTTGGAGACACAGGCTTCTGGGTATGGAATGAGTAAGTCATGGGAGTAAAAGGCACCGCATAGGGAATGTAGCGAATGATACTGTAATTGTGTTGTGTGGGGACAGATGGCAGCTATACTTGTGAGCAGAGCATAATGTTTAGGGATATTGAGTCACTATGTTGCACAGCTGAAACTAATGTAACATTGTGTGTCAACTATATTCCAAAAAAATTTTGTAAGAAAAGAAACTCAGGCGATTTTCTTTCTATATAAAACCTATATTCCCTAGGGCTCTATTTTCAAAACCCAATTTTTATTTTTAAATTTTTATTTATTTATTTTTAACGTGGGCTCCACGTCCAATATGGGGCTTGAATTCAGGACCCTGAGATTGAGAGTCGCCTGCTCTATCGACACAGCCAGCCAGACAACCTGAGTTTTCTTTTTTAAGATTTTTTCTTTTTTTCTTTTTTTTTTTAATTCATGAGAGACAGAGAGAGAGAGGCAGAGGCAGAGGGAGAAGCAGGCTCCTCGCTGAGCAGGGAGCCTGACGCGGGACACGATCCCAGGATTCCGGGATCATGACCTGAGCCGAAGGCAGTCGCTTAACCATCTGAGCCACGCAGGCACCCCAAAAGGGAGTTTTTAATTAAAACTTGTGTATAATCAGGGCTCCTGGCTGGTGAAGTCAGGTAAGCCTGCAACTCTTGGTTTCAGCTCAGGTCATGATCTCGGGGTGGTGAGATCGAGCACTGTGTTGTAGGGCTCCTTGCTCAGCGAGGAGTCCGCTTGGGTTTCTCTCTCCCTCTTCCTCTGCTCCTCCCCGCCATGCTCACACTTTCTTTCTTTTTCTCTCTCTCTTTCAAATAAATAAATAAATATTTTTAAAAATACTTGTATATAATCAATAACTGAATTTATTTAAAATGCAAATTGTAAAAAGAGCATAGAGTGAATTCACTCTCCTACTTATATTCCCTACCTACCCAGTGTCCACCCCAGAAACATCCAGTTTTGCCAGTTTCTTGTATGAACTGCCAGAAAGGCTATGCATATACAGGCAAACATACACACATACACACTTACATATATATGTCTTAGTACATAGCACAGTCTTTTTTTTTTAACATTTTATTTATTTATTTGACAGAGCGAGACAGCGAGAGAGGGAACACAAGCAGGGGGAGTGGGAGAGGGAGAAGCAGGCTTCCCGCAGAGCAGGGAGCCCAAGCGGGGCTCGATCCCAGGACCCTGGGATCATGACCTGAGTTGAAGGCAGACGCTTAACGACTGAGCCACCCACGCGCCCCCCATAGCACACAGTCTTATTACCTCAATTTAAAAAAAATAATAATGACGGAGCGCCTGGGTGGCTCAGTTGGTTAAGTGTCTGCCTTTGGCTCAGGTCATGATCCCAGGGTCCTGGGATCCAGCCCCATGGTGGGCTCCCTGCTCAATGGGGAGCCTGCTTCTCCCTCTGCCTCTGCCCCTTCCCACCCTGGGCTCATGTTTTCTCTCTCTCACTCTTGCTCTATCTCAATTAAATAAATACAATCTTTTTAAAAATGACTTTTTTTAAAAGATTTTATTTATCTGACAGAGAGAGACACAGCGAGAGAGGGAACACAAGCAGGGGGAGTGGGAGAGGGAGAAGCAGGCTTCCTGCAGAGCATGGAGCGCAACGTAGGACGCTGGGATCGGGACCCGAGCCAAAGCCAGACGCTGAACGACTGAGCCACCCAGGCGCACCGTAAAAAATGAGTTTTAAATAGATAACACATAATGTGTTAAAATTCAAAAGGCATAAAACTGAAATTCCCCTTTTATACGTGCCCCTGCTTCCATCTTGTTCCCCTCCTGAACAACTAGTGTTACCACTTTGTTGTATTTCCTTCTAGACATGGTCTATACATAAATAACTGATTTTTTACTAATAACACAATCTTGCTCTGTAAGTGCCAGGACTTTGCCTATTTGGTTCACTGTTTCTTCCCCAGCACAGTCCCTGGCACATAGGAAGTCTCAATAAATATTTTTGGAATGAAATCATATAAACACAAACATCATCCTTACCTCTCTAATCTCTCTTCTCCATTTTTCAGATCTACCTAGCTAGTCTAATTGACTCTCCAATGGAGGGGGCACCTCCCTGGCTCAGAAGGTAGGGCACCCGACTCTTGATCTCAGGATCGTGAGTTCAAGCCCCATGCTGGGCATGGAGCCTACTTAAAAAGAAAAAAATGAGGGGCGCCTGGATGGCTCAGTCAGTTAAGCATCTGATTTTGGCTCCGGTCCTTATCTCAGAGTCCCATGTTGGGCTCCACGCTCCACAGGGAGTTTGCTTCTCCCTCTCCCTTTGCCCCTCCCCCCCGCTCATACTAGTGCTCTCCTGCTCTCTTTCTCTTTCTTTCTCTCATATAAATAAATAAAATCTTTAAAAAAATGGTTTTCCACTGGGAATTTTTTTCAGTTTCATCCCTTCGTTGCTTTTCTGCGGCCACGGTGCAAGCTCACTATATGCTTCATATTACTACGAACTCCTGAGGACTCTCCTGGCTGGCTGTTGTGTAGATAAACAGCTCTGTGGAAAGAGAAGGCCATGTGACATAATGCGTAGGAACACCAGTTTTTGAGTTGGACTGCCCACGTTCATACTCCAGTTCTGCTACTCAGAAGCAGTGGGACTTTGGGGAAAGATGCCACTTTAACAGATCATTGCGTCCCTTTCCTTGCCCGTACAATAGAGGTAGCAGTGCCTCCTTCATAGGGTGGTTGTGATGAAATGGGCTAGTATGTGAAGCCTTTACGTATATGAACCTGACCCACAGTCAGTGCTCACCAAATGTTAGCTAGCTAATATTAGCATAGCACAGTTCATCTTCCTCAAGCACTGTTTTGAACACAGGTAAGTTATGTATAATGCTTATGATGTTCTCAGAAACTGTCCATTATTCATACTGAGCCTAAGGCCCCCTTTCAGCTGACTTTTCCCCCTTACTCAACCAGCTTCTTAACCTGCTGAGCATAAGCTCCATTCCAGGATGCCAGTTGGCTCCATATACCACACGAAGTCATACACACTCACCCCAAAGCCTCACTTAGCACCATCTCTCCCTCTTAGTAGCCATGTTCATCTTGCCCTCTCTTCCTGCTTTCCTTCCACTCCTCCTCCTCTCTCCTTCTTTGACTAGTCCTGCCTCTGAGTATAGAGAGAGAGATACAGTTGTATATGTATGACATAGTACATTTTTTAAAGGTTATTTATTTATTTGAGAGCGAGCACAAGCAGGAAAGGCAGAGGCAGAGGGAGAAGCAGGCTCCCCGCTGAGCAGGGAGTCCAACCAGGGCTGGATCCCAGGACCCTGAGATCATGACCTGAGCCGAAGGCAGACGCTTAACCCACTGAGCCACTCAGGCGCCCCAAGATATAGTACATCTGTATTTCTATATTCTACATTCTTACATATTTTCAGTGGTGTGTATACAGATTATCCCATTAGATTACAGTGACCTCAAATGTCTACAATGTCTATTCTTTTTTTTTTTTTTAAGATTTTATTTATTTATTTGACAGAGAGAGACACAGCGAGAGAGGGAACACAGCAGGGGGAGTGGGAGAGGGAGAAGCAGGCTTCCCACAGAGCAGATGCGGGGCTTGATCCCAGGACCCTGGGATCATAACCTGAGCCGAAGGCAGACGCTTAACGACTGAGCCACCCAGGCGCCCCCCCCCCTTTTTTTTTAAACATTTGATCTTCCTCCAAATCCCCTGGCTTCCAGAAAAACTAAAGCAATAAAATATAGAGAAGGCTATGCCTGGGTACGAGCTAGAGCATGCTGCAGGGGTCTGGGAGGAAGGCCCATACCAAAGAACACAGGGACAAAGCTGCCACTCCCAAGCACTCTCCTGCTAGAAAACATGTGGTTGAAGTATTTGGGGGATTTTCTATAAGCAAATGATCTGAACCCTTAATAGTAAGTCACATATTATTGGTCATTATGATCACTATGATCATTATCAAATATTTATTTAGCACCTTTGTTGTGAAAGTGGCATGCTGGCAGGATACAAGGAGACATGGAATGATTCTTCCTGTGATAAACTAAAAACCTAATGTGATATAGACTCAAGATACTAAGACACCTGAGTGGTACAAAAAAATAAGAAGTCATCATCCAGGGTTGTAACAACCGATGAGTTCTTCGTAGAAAAAGATGAACCTGACCTAACGCTTGAAGAAAGGGTCAAATGTTTAATGCGCATAAAGCAAAGCAAATATTTTAAGTGGTAGATACTATATGAATATTCTTTCATGTGAAATGCCACTTATTTTGTAAGTGGCAGTATTATTTTCAATATTATTTTGTAGACAGATCATTCAAATGACATGTATTGAGTATCTACTGTCTGCAAAGCACATGCAAAGATAGAATGGGAGATAGAGGTGAAGAGTTGGTGATCCCTGCCCTGGACGGGATTACAAGAGAGTGGACAATACCAACATGAAAATAGCTGCCTAACAACTTGCAGAATGATAGAAGATCAGAAAGCTGGAACCCTGGGACTGGAACAAAGATTTTCTGACCACCACACTGTTGTGTTGTCTAGCTCTAGAACACAGCAAACCCCTTTAAGGCCAAATTTGGGCAACATGTTATCACCTGAGGATAGCCTCAGGTGAATACCACAGTGCCTGGTACTGACACGGACTGGCGTTACTGAAGGCTGATACCATGTATGACTCTAGCACCATCCTTATCGTTATTCTTACCATTACTGTTTTCTGTCAGTTCCTTGTCTCGGCCACAAGAACTTTTGGTTCCTGAAAAAGCATGAAGCAAGCTATGCAGAAGGGATCTTAGTATTATCCACCCCAATTTTCTCATTTTATAAACGAGGCAGCTGACATCTGCTAAACAACTGCTTAAGGGCTGGGAGGCTTTGTCTTTCATTCATTTCCTTGATGATAAAGGCACTTATATTTAAGTTTTATACTATGATTTGTCATACTTGGACATTTCTTAAACTTCCTATCTCGTGACTTTCCCCAGGATGTGACAGCTGTGACAGTAAGTTAGCACCGACATGATGAAATGCTCCAAGCCGCTTCTGCTGCCTGTCCCGACGTCCCCACGAGCATGGGGAACTTTCGTTCCATGCCAGTCAAAGAAGAGCCTTTGTTATTTCCCCAAGGGAACATCAATACTGTCAAACACAATAATACACAAGAATTTTGAAATTAGTTTTTGTTATATTTTATCTTTTTTTACAAGCTTCAACTTTATTTTTATTTATTTATTTTAAGACTTTATTTTTATGTCATCTCTACACGCAATGTGGGGATCAAACTCACAACCCACTCTCAAGAGTTGCACACTCCAGGGGCCTGGGTGCCTCAGTTGGTTAAGCCTCTGACTCCTGATTCGGTTCAAGTCATGGTCTCGGGTAGTGATCATGGGATTGCTTCCCCCATCCCCATTGGGCTCTGCAGTGGGCCGGGGGGAGGGGGTCTGCTTGGGATTCTATCTCTCCCTCTCCCTCTGCTCCTCCTCCCACTTGCATGCGCTCTTTCTCTCTCTCTCTAAAAAATGAATCTTTAATCTTTATCTAAATAATCTTTTTAAAAAAACCAGCTGAGCCAGCCAGGCACTCCTCTAAGCTTCATCTTTAAATGACACCCAGTTGGATTGGTGACATACTTCCTGAATAGAAATATATGTGGTTTTCATGTTAGGAAAGTTAGAAAAACTAAGGTTAGTTTGTTTCCCCAAGTTAATCCTTTTTTGCCCTGATGTACTGAATTTTTATCTACAAACTGGCGTTTTGTAATGAATTGCTCCATTTCATCAAGTATATATCAATATCCTACAATGTATGTAGTTTTAATGCTTGACACCAAAGGACATAATAATAATGACACATGGTCTCTTACTCTCAAATTGTTTATCAGCTTCTGGACAGTGTTTCATGGAACACAAGTTCATGAAGAATAAATAGATGCTGTTAATTTAGCATAATGTGAGGGGGCGCCTGGCTGGCTCAGTGGGGGGAGCATGCAACTCTTTTTTTTTTTTTAAGATTTTATTTATTTATTTGACAGAGAGAGTGAGAGAGCACATGCTGCGGGAGCAGTAGAAGGAGAGGAAGAAGCAGGCTTCCTGCTGAGCAGGGAGCCCAATGCGGGGCTCGATCCCAGGACCCTTGGATCATGACCTGAGCCAAAAGCAGACGCTTAACCATCTGAGCCACCCAGGCGCCCCTGGAGCGTGCAACTTTTGATCTCTGGTTGTGAGTTCAAGGCCCACATAGGGTGTAGAGATTACATTAAAAAAGAAAATTAAATCTTTTTTTAAAAAGTTAGCATAATATGAGTAAAATATTTTTCTTCTTCCTAAAGCTGTATCTAAAGTTTTGTGCGTTTTTTTTGTTTGTTTGTTTGTTTGTTTTTAAAGATTTTATTTATTTATTTGAGAGAGAGAGCACATGAGAGGGGGGAGAGTCAGAGGGAGAAGCAGATTCCCTGCCGAGCAGGGAGCCCGATGCGGGACTCCATCCAGGGACTCCAGGATCATGACCTGAGCCGAAGGCAGTCGCTTAACCAACTGAGCCACCCAGGCGCCCAGTTTTGTTTTTTTTTAAGATTTTATCTGTTTATTTGACAGAGCGATAGAGAGCACAAGTAGGCAGAGAGGCAGGCAGAGGGAGAGGGAGAAGCAGGCTTCCTGCTGAGCAGGGAGCCCGATGTAGGGCTCGATCCCAGGACCCCGGGATCATGACCTGAGCCGAAGGTAGCCACTTAACCAACTGAGCCACCCAGGTGCCCCAGCTGTATCTAAAGTTATCAAGAGTCTTCTGAAAAGCTACTGATGATGTTCATTTGTGTTCCCAACCTACCAGAGTGACTTCCACATAGAAAATGACGTGAGGAATCATTATAAGAGTTCTGTAGAATTGAAACAAGCACCTCCCTCCCTAAAAATAACAAATGATTTTCTTAAAGATTTTATTTATTTGTCAGAGAGAGAGAATACGAGTGGGGGGAGGGGCAGAGGGAGAAGTGGACTCCTCACTGAGCATTGAGCCTGATGTGAGACTTGATCCCAGGGTCCTGAGCTGAAGGCAGACACTTAACTGAGCCACACAGGCCTCCCACAATGATTTTTTGTTTAAGATTTTATTTATTTATTTATTTATTTATTTATTTAGAGCACGAGCAGGGGGAGGGGCAGAGGGAGAAAGAGAGAGAGAATCCCAAGCAGACTCTGCACTGAGCACAGAGCCCCATGCGGGGCTCGATCTCACTACCCTGAGATCATGACCTGAGCCGAAATCAATAGTTGGGCACCCAACCGAATGAGCCACTCAGGTGCCCCCAAAATAACAAACAAAAAACCCCTCAGGGGTGTCTGGGTGGCTCAGTCGGTTAAGCTTTTGCCTTCAGCTCAGGTCATGATCCCAGGATCGATGACCGAGCCCCACATCAGGCTCCCTGCTCAGCGGGGAGTCCGCTTCTCCCTCTCCCTCTGCCTGTCACTACCCCTGCTTGTGCTCTCTCACTCTCTCTCTCTGTCAAATAAATAAATAAAACCTTCAAAAAAAAAAAAAAGAACACAGAATGATGAGGTTATAACTAAGGTTTAGATACCTTTCACAAATTTGTCCTCTTAAATACGAGAAATAAATGTGTTTTGAAGGTTTGTGCTTAAAACCAGGAATAAGGGTCTAGTTGCTAAAAAAAAGTTGCTAAAAATCTTTCTTTTTTTTTTTTTAAGATTTTACTTATTTATTTGACAGAGAGAGACATAGCGAGAGCAGGAACACAAGCAGGGGGAGTGGGAGAGGGAGAAGCAGGCTTCCCGCGGAGCAGGGAGCCCGATGTGGGGCTCGATCCCAGGACCCTGGGATCATGACCTGAGCCGAAGGCAGACGCTTAACGACTGAGCCACCCAGGCGCCCAACTAAAAATCTTTCTTGCTCATAGAGATGAGCTTGCCTTACAGCAGGCCAGTTTGCTCTCTGATTATTTATGCTGATCTATACAGTGATGATAACTAACTTCCTGCACAAAGGTGCTTTGTTCACAAAGGATAGCAGTGGGCTTAAATAAATGCCAAGTATTATTATTAACCCGCTGTCCCCTTTTGCTACTCAGAGTTCCTGTGGCAGTTTTAAATAAGAGGGCACCTTTATTGTCCACTGAACCCATAATTTGATCTCACAAAATCTATGGTTATTGATGCCAGGGGGATTGGGATTCACATGGAGATGTAGATAGAATGTGTATTCAAAGTGACAAGTGAAAAGGTTTCCTTGTACTGAAGCATCCACTGAGTGTCAACATCATTTGGAAGACAATGCAATAAAAGCAAGAAAGAGAAATTTCTTAAAGACCTATCTGACATCCTTCAATTTCATTTCAACTTCAACAAAAACAGAAATGACCAGCACAATAATGAAAATGCAGAAAACAACACCTAATTCTTAGTTCACAACTGCTCATTTTAGATTCTGATTTGATCCTTCAATCCTTCATCTATAAGCAAACGCGATTTTATTTTACATCCTCTTCTCACCCTGAAAGAAAATGTTTCAGTGTATAAGGGGAAAGATAAGGCAGAGAGAGAGAGAGAGAGGAGGGAAAGAGATAGAGATGAGGGAGCGAGGGGAGGGGGGAGAGAGAGAGAATTCTTTGCTGAGCTCAGCATCTCTAAAACGAGCAAAATCTGGACAACTTTTGTTCTTCCATCCACTAGGGCACTAATGTACTCTTTAGTAAATATCTATTGAGTGAAGACTATATTAATTGTTCTTACAGCTAGATTTTTATCTACCATTGTTCAAGTCAGAAGATGTACAATTTGAAAATGATGCTATCAACAATGATTATTATCTGTCTGAGTGGGTGTTGCTGAAAAGACCGATACTGGCTGACTCTACAGTTACTGGGTGTGGTGTATTTTTTCTACTTAAGAGTTAAGGTTAGAAGGGCATCATGTCTGCAACTTATTCTTAAGGGGCTCAGAAAGAAAAAAATGTATATAGAAATATATATAATGTTATAAAGTGAAGACTATCTGGGGATTCTTTGCAACCTTTCTGTATAACTGAAATTATATAAAAAAAATCTTTAAGTAGGGGCACCTGGGTGGCACAGTTGGTTCAGCATCTGATTCTTGGTTTCCACTCAAGTCATGATCTCAGGGTCAAGAGATCAAGCCGGGCATGGGGCTCTGCACTGAGCGTGGAGTCTGCTAGAGATTCTCTCTCCCTCTGCCTCTCCCTCCACTCCCACACTCTCTCTCTGGATCTAGTTTCTTCATAAACATTTTTTTTTTTAAGATTTTATTTATTTGACAGAGAGAGAGAGAGACAGCAAGAGAGGGAACTAAGCTGGGAGAGTAGGAGAGGGAGAAGCAGGCTTCCCGCTGAGCAGGGAGCCTGATGCGGAACTCGATCCCAGGACCCTGAGATCATGACCTGAGCCGAAGGCAGACGCTTAACGATGGAGTCACCCAGGCGCCCCTCTTCATAAACATTTAAAGAGTTATATGAAGTTGTCTCAAAAAAGTCCTTGTAGTACTAATATTCTAATGTAAGTTCCTTTTTCCAAATAGAGAAATAGAAATTTTAATCTTAACTAACTTTCCAGAAGTCACGTGAGAAGAAGAAAGCCCAGTTTAAAAAGAGTCCATTAATTATATCCAATCTGGGTATATACACCAACAAGGAGCCCATTGTGGAAAACTGTCCTAAACTTCCCAAGCACACCGGCTGTCAAGGATCCGTCCTCAAGGGATCAGTTGCCAAAGCTCATCTCATTCTATAAAGGGAGGGGACTGGGGAATTATACACTCTCCGGTTTGGTCTTGGGAATATTTTCCATCTTCTGGAGGATAGCAAATCTCCTGGAGACAAGAGGAAGAAGAGCCTTGGAATCAGACTTGGGACAGGAGATGATTTGGCCATGGGATTGTTGCTACAATAGGGCTTTGTGTTTTGTTGCCCTTTGTAGCTACCCAAACACTTTCTGGTAAGTGAGAAAACATGTTAGGCTTTTTTGAATCCCTGCCCTTTTATGTGATTTTAATTATGGGGAAGCCGTACAAAAGACTGAGTACGGTTCTCTGGCTCATCAGCATGTGGTAAAAGATCTAAGCTTTCTTTGTGCCGATTTACCCTGCAATTAAGGCCGTATTCTGGTTTGA